CTTGCTCAAAGCTCGAGACCAAGGCCTGCCCTGGTTGGCTGATTCCTGGCCTTCCACCAGTCTCCCAGCCAATGGCGGCTTGGGCAGTCCAAAGAACAGCAGCAACTTTGGCCGTGGAGGTAACGAGCATGTTTAGGTCACACTTCGGACGTTCTACTTTTAGCTACGCCTGGTGCGACAGTTGTGATGTTTATCCTTGTGTAATGACAGTGACAGGGCATCACAAGTACACACATGCCGACAAATTAAAAATGCCTGTAAGGGCTTCTGCTTGCTAATTGAACTTGACAAGCCAAGTATATGTATGTAACTTTTCTCCGATGCCCTGTGGAGTCCATGAATGCTAAAGCAATTCTATTACATTTTCTTATTTGCTTGTTTGAGATCGCCGCTCCTCTGTGCCATTATAGCCATGAAGGTTAGCTCAGTTTGAATATCCCTCACAATCACATGATAGCTGGGTCTCCACAGCATGGCGCACGCTAATTATCGCGGCGGATAATCACTTTCATTCATATCAAGCCCATTTGAAACCGGTATTTAACTAATGCAGAGTGCTAGAACAGTGGGGAGTGCTAATGACCTTAAAGATCGTTAGCTTGGTGACAGCTCTCTCCCTGGTGCTTTTTTGTCCCAGATGTGTTGCCTTCCGTGGAGAAGACTGGCACCATGCTGTCCGACGGTGCCATCTATAGCAGTATCGACTTCATGGGGAAAACGGGTTACAGCAGCCCAGCACGCACCGGTCAGCCCACCCCCTACGCCACCACTCAGATTCTGCAGTCCAACAGCTTCCACGAGCTGGCCGTGGACCGACCAGACCCCCGCTGGAAGGCATCTCTGCAAGCCCAGCAGGAGATGGCCAACCTGGGCTACTCGCTCACTGACAGACGCCCTGGCACTGGTGGGTGTCACACATAGAGAGCGGGATTCTGTGCAGTGGGATTGGAATGAGCCGTGCATGCTTTGGGTTTAGCTCGGTCTATCCGTGTCCAATATTTGAACATTCAAAGTGAGAGTTAAGTAGACGGGTATTTACTTGTGTTTATCGGTGTTGAACATTTTCCTGAACTGTCTGATCCAATGGCACGAGTTCAAACTGTTTCATCTTTGCATCCAAGTCTGTGTCTTCTGTGGTGAAAAGGGATTCACAGTGTACTGCTTAGATAACTTGTTTATGTGGCGCTTATTCTGTGGGGCTTATTCTAGGCAAGGCAAGTTTATGTGTATAGATAGATAGATACTTTATTGATCCCTGATAGGAGAAATGCAGGTGTCCAGTAACGGGAGCAACACATCCATCCAACAAATAAATAATGTAGCTAGCTAACAATAGTATAGCACTCAAAGTGCATAAATATTTACAGTACATTAAAAAGAGTAGGGGGCGACAGTGGCTCAGTTGGTAGAGCATTAGCCTTTGAGCCTGAAGGTCGTGGGTTCGACCCCACCATGAGACCTTCTCCACCGACTGCCACTGATGACTGCTGTAGTTGTGTCCTTAGGCAAGATACTTAACCCCACTTTGCCTGAAGCCCCCGCTGAAAGATCAAGGCAATGCCATAGAGTGGCCATCCAAATGTGGACTCACCACCTGCAGGAGGATCAGTGAGGGGCTGGTGCTATGTGTACTGGGTGGCATCTCTGGCCACCCCACGACGCAGAAATGGATGGGGTTGAAAATGGATGGATGGATGGATGGATAAAAAGAGTAAAGATAAAATCCTACAGTTGTATGGACAGCTGAACAGAACTGTTTTTAACCTTCAGGAAGACTGTTCCAGCTTTGTGAATCTGGAAATGCAGCATCCCCTATTGTATTTATCTCTGAAATATGAAGTTGTAGTCCTGATAGAGAGCTGTACAGTATAGTTCACAGGGACAATGAACTACATCAGCAAGAAAGTAATATGGTTTGCGGGCTGACCAGAAAACCTATTTGATTTCAAAATCAAGTTGGTAGGCTAAGTTAAATCAATTAATATTTGAAGGTTTATTTTTTAAAGTCTTTTTTAACTTTGGCTCCGCCAACATTGACATAGAAAATAAGTAATCATCCATCTGGCAGCTCCATTGAGTTAACCCAGTCAAAGAATCTGTGTCACTCATAGTTGGGCTAGTTCTGTTGCCAAAAGTTATGCATTATTTACTTCCAGTTAAAACAATATTATCATTTTAAACTACATATTATGCTTGTGTTTATGTTGTCTAACATCAAAGAATATAGCTTATATTCATTGTATATATGACAAACATGACAGAGCAATACACCATAAATGTGTTTTCAACAAGAACCTGAGGTAAAATTATCAAAATCAAAAAAGGAAAAATAAATAGAATGCAAGAGTTGGTCCCTCATTGATATAATCGTTTTCTTTGAATTCTTCTGTGGCGCCCTGGTGGACCTCACTGTAGCTAAAACAGTCTAGTCAAAACAGTAATAAATTGCAAGTTTATCTGAAAGAACCGATGTTCGATTTGTTGACGGCGCAAAACAACAGGAAGCCAAGTCATTTACATATTGTGAGAAAACGAACCCTAAGGATAGTGTTCTTAATTACTCTCCTGTCTTCATCACCATTCACCCTGGGAGCCCATCTAGCCCAGATATGTCACGCAATCATGATGCATTTTTCTGCCTTCATTTGATTAGTGGTGGCATGAAAACCTAAAGCATTCTGAGTAAGTTCAAGCTGTAAACGTTTGGCTCGTTGCTCCAAAAGTTTTATATCTACATTAAAAAAGAACTTTTAACTTTGAAGATGATATTGACACTTTCGAAATAAAAAAAGAAAATTCAATTCAAAATACATGCAGCTGTGACTTATGGTTAATTGAATGTTAGTTAGTGGTAGTAGTTCTTTCATTCAAGAATAAATAGTTACTTTCATGCATTCATATATATTTGCAATTATATATAAAACATATATATTTACAAATGATCAGCACGAAATGGAGCGGGAAGAAGTAAAATGTATAGACTCCCACCCCATATAATACATTTTATTGTATTGTATTGCATTGGATGTGCATGATGTCTTCTCTGTGATTGGTTAAAATAGTAAGTCTCCGCCTGTTAAAATAGACTATTGAAAAAACAAATTTGTCAAATGAGTTTCTTGAATAATTCCAAAATGTGTCATGTGGTTTCATTTGTTGGACTGTAAAAACGTGTTCTTCAGTTCCAGCTTTTTTTTATTCATCCAAACATGAATAGTTAATACTGATGGTTTATGTTTTATTTCTATATTTATCCAGTCATTTATCAACAACAACAGCTAAAAATTAAAAGGCATGAACAATTTCTCAAACATAAATTGACAATTTTACAGAGTGAAAAGGATCAGGCTGAAGTTTAAGAGCATCATTCTGTATTATATCTATTTTGTTCCAATGATACCATTTACTCAGTTACCATTTACTCAGATACCACTTCTGTATTGTGCTCTATTTTCTGACATAATTTATATGAAATATTAGTTTGTCAAAATCAATCGATTGATTTTTTTGAGGATTTCACAATTTTCCTCTTAATTTAGTTTCAAAAACCAATAGAGCTTCGCCTACGAGAACTAATTTTCCAAACAGTCCAATTTTCAAGTCCATTAACTTAAATGCCATAAAGATTGTCATCGTTTAAAGAGTGGACAAGCTTATTGTTTGAATCAGAATAGATCAGAGGTCATTAACACACCCTTAATAAAGCAGTTCCCGAGCTAAATGTCAACGTTTGCAGAAATAAAGTGGTGGAGAGTGGGCTGCTGAACAGGAATCATTTTAATGGTCCCAATTTGGATGCCTTTTTAGGAAATGTCAACACTGGAAAAGTCCGGATGCACTGTCAGCACATAGACGCAGAGATAATGAGCTGGAGAGACTGATTTTACAAAGATTTTAGAACTTTTTCTTTACTTTTCATAACATATTTGAAAAGAGTGATTTAAAGTAGCAATATGTAAGATTTTCATGTCGAGTATCATTAAATGGTCCTAATCTGTCAAAAGGCATCAATAAGCCATGCTATTTTAACTTTAACTGATAACTGTACTTCAGCCAAGATATTTGGATTAAAAAAAATAGTTTTACAGCCCCTAATTCTTGTTATTGTTTTCATTTCGATGTCCCGCCCTCCACTGTTTTACCAATCAGAAAGTCTGTGATCCGGGTTGCCAGAACTCACTGCGTCAAGCTAATCTCACTGGTAAAGAAACATGTGGCCACAGAACTAAAAAAAGGTCTCATTATGATTCTCAAAACACTAATGACAAAACAAGGAATAAAACCAGGATTTCTATCTTTGTGAAAAAGGGGTTGTTTATAGATTTGTTGATGACAAAACTCTGTATTCAGATATTATGGTCCCAGCTGGATTTGTCTGCATATCTGGCAACCTGAGTCAGGGAGAATGCAGTACCACTTTTGGTCATATTTTCACATACTGCTCCTTTAACACATACAGAGAAGTTGCAGTAGAATCAAAATCACTCTATTGCGGTCACAATTAGAACATCGCAAACACACAAAAGAGAGGCGACAAAAAAATCCTTGAATTTGGGAAAAGATTGAAGATTATTTGTTGCTGTCAGGCAGAGAGACCATTTTCTCATTCTGAATGAGACATCTCATCCTTTTTCATGTTTTCATGAACTGTCAAAATGTTTTGTACAACTCATGTCAGACAAGAATAATGTTGAGAGAAAAGATACACATGCCTTAACTCAAGTGTTTATGAGTATGAATTCTATTTACCATGAACTTTTAATATCTACAAGACAAAATGGTTGTGCTGTAGAGCTCTAAAAAACATTGTCTGTAACATGGCCTTGTGTATGAGGTGTTTGCTTTATACGTACACTTTACCAAATAGAAATCTCTTGAAGTTATTCCGTAATTACTTTTTTATTGACTTTTATTCAACCAGGAAAGTCCCACTAAGATATCAAAATCTCTTTTTCAGGGCAGTCCAGTGAGAAGGGAGCTATTGTACATGTTTTTAGTGGTAGAGGAAACAGAAGCACCCTAGAATACATTATTTTTCAATTCTCAAAAATCTCATTTAATTTGCAATTTGATAAAACTGCTCAATACTTGGGTTCTTTCTGCATCCAACAGTAACTACATATTTTTTTACACATTACTTCCCTACTTTCTATAATAAACTTCTGAAAGTGGACAGTTTTATATTCCTCTTTTGCTTGCATGCTCACTCAGGTGCAAAGGTTGGGAAGAAGAAGAAACTAAAAGGTGGAACTAAGAGCTCTAAATCCAACGGGTCGTGCTGGGCTAACATGCCGCTGCCCCCGCCGCCCATGCACCCGCTGCCAGGTACCGAAGTTGACCTTGACCACTACCCCCAGGAAAACCACGGAGGAGGGTGAGCCGCATTCATATTTCATCATTCTCTGCTCTCCAACTGACACAAACACGCACAGAGAGAAATGCAATCACAAGGGGAACAATATGTTTTCTGCCTGAGCACCTTCACACACTCCACTGAATTACTTCCAGAGCCCATTTCCACCAAGTATATATACAACTAATGGATAAATGCACGGAAAATGGATTGAATTGTTTGATGTTTGCCATATTTTGAGCATAAACAGATGATAAATGACTGAAGAATGGTACATTTATTTGTATGTATTATAATGTTTTTATTTGTTTGAACTGTATTAATACTACACAAACGGAGTGGGGCCCCCAACCCCCAAAACTCAAATACAATCAAATTTTTCATTTCATAATAAAAATAGTACAGAGCAAGGCACAACAAAGGCACACAGCACAAACATATGCACCTCCTCGATTATAGAACAATCAACAATTTAAACAGAATAAAGAATAGACCATACAATTAGCCATGACTTAATGAGATTAGCCAGAGAGACACTGGAGAAAGACCAGAGAGAGGCCAGAGAGAGACTAGAGAGAGACCAGAGAGAGACCAGAGAGAAACCAGAGAAAGAGACCAGAGAAAGAGTCCAGAGAGAGTCCAGAGAGAGACCAGAGAAAGACCAGAGAAAGACCAGTGAGAGACCAGAGAGAGACCAGAGAGAGACCAGAGAGAGACCCGAGAGAGATATCAGAGAGAGATATCAGAGAGAGACCAGAGAGAGACCAGAGAGAGACCAGAGAGAGACCAGAGAGAGACCAGATAAAGACCAGATAAAGAGACCAGAGAAAGAGACCAGAGAGAGACCAGAGAGAGACCCGAGAAAGAGACCAGAGAAAGACCAGAGAGACCAGAGACAGACCCAAGAGAGACCAGAGAGAGACCAGAGAGAGGCCAGAGAGAGACCAGAGAGAGACCAGATAAAGACCAGATAAAGAGACCAGAGAAAGAGACCAGAGAAAGACCAGAGAGAGACCAGAGAAAGACCAGAGAGACCAGAGACAGACCCAAGAGAGACCAGAGAGAGACCAGAGAGAGACCAGAGAGAGACCAGAGAGAGAGACCAGAGAGAAACCAGAGAGAAACCAGAGAGAAACCAGAGAGAGAAACCAGAGAGAGAAACCAGAGAGAAACCAGAGAGAGAAACCAGAGAGAGAAACCAGAGAGAGAGACCAGAGAGAGAAACCAGAGAGAAACCAGAGAGAGAAACCAGAGAGAGAAACCAGAGAGAGAGACCAGAGAGAGACCAGAGAGAGACCATAGAGAGAGACCAGACAGTATCATGTATTACGTCTTCACTTAAACTTAGATAAAAGGAGATGGAGAAAATGACATGTCACATTTGGCACAGGTTGTGCAAAAGACAGGACATGTGCAAAAAATGTTGTGAACAAATCAGATCACATTAAAATTCTCTCTTCATCCTATCAAAAAACATGCTATATTTTACGTACTTGTCAAAACGAGCCACGTGACTCACTTAGGGATGATAGCTGATTGGTTACGTTTAATTTTAATTTTTTTCACATTTCCACCTGTCCTAAAATCTGACAGAGGCCAACAATGCATGCATGTCAAACTGGTAATATAACCCCATTGTTTGGAGAGCAAGGTACTAGTTTGATGGATTTTATTACTTGGTGTTATAAATTGTGGTTTGAAGGTTAGGATCCTCAGCTTGAATGTAGTAACTCATGTTTATAATGTGCACTCTGTAACTTTGGAGCTGAGTCTACCATCTGCTTGTGTCCATGCTGATGCTCTGCTGTGTCTGCCATGCTCCACTCTCTTGCATTTAGATCTTTTTGTATACTTTTGGACAGTTGTTTTAATTTTGTTAATGGTTAATAATACCTTGAACATGATTACTTTGTGAGAGTGGCATGTGCTCAGGAGGAGATTCCCCACCAGAAGTATGATGGAGTGCACTTATAGTATACTAGATAGCCTTTTAAATATATATATACAGTAATGATTAGATACAGGTCAAACATAGCTAAAGAAAAATACCAAAAACTGTGAAGGGAATTGATGCAAGGAATCCGAGGTACTCTGGTCAAGGCTATAACTGCGAGGAAGAAAGTCATCAGTGTAAATCCTAGAAGCACCGGAGTCACATACAGTAAATGTCCCATGGCGAGATGAGATGAGCGAAGGATCCAAAATGCAAGAATGCAAAAAATTATGATTTAAAATAAGATAAGATCAACTTTACTGATCTCACAATGGAGAAATGTACATGTCACTTTTGGCATAGATAGAATCACTCAGATTGTGCAAAAAGTTGTTAAAAATACAGTCTGTGCAGGATGATATGATGTACAATAAAAAAAGTTGCAATAGCAGCGCTGGTTCTTCAGTCCTAGTGCAGGTCATTAGTGACTTAAAGTGACTTATTTTTACAGTCTGACAGTGGTGGGGATGAATAATGATAATAAATAATAGTCCAGGGCAAACACAAATACCAAAATACAAACTAAACAAAGGAACCAGGAACACAGACAAAGAAAATGAAGGGAGAAGAGCACAGGGTTCATATAGACAGAGACACAGGTGAGACATTAAGGCAGGGGAGACAATCAACAGGGGAACGGGACAGGAAGTAAAACTAAAACAAAACCACAGCAGAGCTAATGTCAAAATAAAACACAAAATCCACACCATGACAATATATTTTGCAGCTGCACCCACATCCTCTCTTCTCATTCATTAGATACAATTTGTTTTGCAGGTATGACAGTAACAGTTGGGCCCCACCCATGTCCATCCACACCTATCGTCATCAGAATCTGAACGCTGAGGGGGAGGAGGAGAGAGGGCCCACTCCTCCTTTAAGGGGCCGCTCTTCGTCTCCTGCATCTTCTTTCAAACAGCCCTCGTCATCCTCCCTGAGCTCCACTCACCACGAGGAAATGCAGTCTATTCTCCAGGCGCACTTGGACGAGCTGACCAGGGCCTACCAGTACGAGGTCGCCAAACAGTCCTGGTGAGACATGCAGCTGCCGTATCACACCATTCAACATAACAAATCTGAAGTATTGTGAATTGAGATTAAGAGATATTTTATCTGTCTCACAGTGGGGAAATTTCAGTGTTGCATCACTGGTTAAAGAACAGTAGGAATGAGCACACAGCACAAGATAAATGAACACAGCACAGGATAAGGCACTTGAACACAGCTATATACTAAACTCTATACTATACAAATCTATACTAAACTATACTATACTATAAAATAACAAAAAATAACCTACCTTCTATAGCCGTCTATTTTCTGTGATAAGAAGCAAAAAAAGTACAGAATCTCTGACTTAATCTCTGCATAGAAAAGAAGCATGTGTAAAGTACTTTATATTCTAGTGCAGACATATATAGTTGTGTGTATACATCATGGATACAATATGGGCCGGACTCCTTTCTCAAAAGCTGTAGAAAGTACTATAGTTACTTATTTTGTGTTTTTATTAGTAGCTGTCATTAAGCTTTATGTTCCAATTTGCATGACAATTTAATATATACAAAGTCTGTTCCAGATGAACACACAGCTTCACTTAATTAAGACATGTATACAAGAGTGTGCAGCCGACTGTTGTATATTTCTGCCATTGTGGGCACGCTGTGAATCTTTCAACACGTTAAAGCCATCCAGACGTGGGCACCCTCACATGTCTAATCTTCTTAGTTCATAATGAGTAATTTGACATGTATTCATCCTACCTACCATTTCCAATCATCAACATGTTCTCTTTTTTGCAAAATTCCATCAGCACAGCAGGTAGTTGTTTAATGCATCACCATTTCTTCATATGCATTTCTCTGGCTCACAGCATGGTGAAATTGCTTCAATTTTATATTCATTATATTCTGTGCTTGATTGTTGGGACTTTGCATATCAATGGCCAGTGTTTGCACAGCTTATAGTGCTGGTATTTACATGTGTCTATTCCGACTCGCGTCTCTTTGCTGCCGATAAAAACAGCTCTGCATTGATTGTACCTTTGACGGCGCATTGGAAAACTTGACAAGTTGGTGGCGACACGTGTTGGAGGGTAATGACCGGGTTTAGTCCAACATGCTGCTCTGACATTGGTAAATAGACTTGGTAATTATGCATGTGCACAGCTATGTGGTGGGATGTACGCCATGATGGAGGACAGCTGTGGGGGAGATAAGAGGCACGTTGTTGACAGCCCTGCCCATCCAGATATCCTTTATCCAGTCCAATTACTCCTCCATTGTGTTAGCAGTAGCCATTGAGAAGTAATCAGCTACACCATCGCTGGCATTTGGGACTGTTTTCAACACACTCTGATTCTGTCATTTTGTCATCACTTTCTACTCGTCTATTGATTATGCAACCTTGGTTATATTGTTGTTATTCACATTGAGTATTTTCCCACATCTAAATTAGGCAAATGAAGAGCAGTCCAAATGTGAACAACCCTGTGATCCCGCCCATGGACTTCCTGTCGAGTACGCTGGGATCGGAGGTGGGGGCAACGCTGCTGTCGGAGGAGGAAGAGGAGGAAGAGGAGAGATATGCCATGGTGTCCAAAAACCTGTTTGACTACACACCTGGCCATAGCACAGAAAACCTGGAAGATTCAGGTGGGTTAAACACATGAACAACACGTTAAAGGTCTCCATCTTACCGTTGGTCGAATGTGAACTCATTTGATCTAAGTTTGATGCACTCTCAAGTGTCATAGGACGTTTTGGCCACAATGACATGAATAATTTTCCTTTCAGACTCCTAATAACTTACATTAGGAGGGGTCTGAACAATATTTTCTTGCGTCGGAACTTCAGAAAGACTCTTTTGTTGTGCGTTACTTTCTTCTCAGAAGTATCCCGGAGGCTGAAGCAGTAAATGCAAATGCTTCACTTTACTTTAATCACTTTGATCATTTCTCTATTGTGTGATCAATAAAGTCTATCTTATCTTATCTATTTTATAGAAAAGAAAGTGAATACTATGAACACATATATTAAGACAAGTTTTAATGCAGGGATGGTGCTATGTGAATTGGGTGCAGCTCTGACAGCCACCCCCTCGACCCAGAAATGTATGAAGTGGAAGAAAATGGATGGATGGTTGTTTTAATGAATAAAACCTCATCTTTTGTAAAAAAAACCAACTCAACATAATTTTTAGTCCAGGCCTTCCTTTGCATTGGTTCAGTGAATCAAATCGTATACATTTATTTTTGTATAACCCAAAATCCCAACTGCAATCATCTCTTGAGGGTTTCACAAGATTGTCGATTTGCCTAAAGCCGATTAGATAACCATAACCTTAGGACACATAAAGAAAAAATAATTTAATAAATACAACAATGGGGCGACAGTAGCTCAGTTGGTAGAGCATTGGCCTTTGGGCCTGGAGGTCGTGAGTTCGATTCCCACCATGGGACCTACTCCAACTGCTGTCCTTGTGTCCTTGGGCAAGACACTTAACCCCACATTGCCTGAAGCCCCCCGCTGAAAGATCAAGGCTGCTTCATAATTTACGGAGCAGCCATCTTCCTGTGGACTCACCCCCTGCAGAAGATCAGCGAGGGACTGGTGCTATGAGCGTTGGGTGGCAGCTCTCATTGCCACCCCCCCAACCCAGAAATGGACAAAGGGGTTGAAAATGAAATGAAAAAAAAAAAAAAACAACAACAACAATAGGACACCAAAGGGTCTGCCCAGAATTTAGCAACAGACCAGAGGGCAATCAGAAAGACCAGGAAGAGCCATCTCTGCATTGACTCCTTGAACGTTCTTTCTCTTGGCTAATAACTTGGTAAGAGTTTTGATTGGGAAAGTTAAGGGGCTGGTTCTGGCCATGGACACCGAGCGCCTTCTCCGCGGCCGCGTCCACTTTTCGGGGCTGGTTCTGGCCATGGACACCGAGCGCCTTCTCCGCGGCCGCGTCCACTTTTCGCCCCAACTACTCTGATCGTTGGAGATTCCATCGTGAGGCACGTCCGCTTTTTTAACGCGGTCACTCACTGCATTACCGGAGCCACTGTACCAGACCTGCTCATCCGTCTCCCTCCTCTGCTTCACTCCCTGCCCGATACCATATCCAAGGTAATCGTGCATGTGGGGATCAACGACATGAAGCTGCAGCAGTCAGAGGTCACAAAGAAGCACTTTATGAATCTGTTCCGCCTCCTCCAGTCCTCCGGGTTGTGTGTTTTTATCTCTGGTCCAGTCCCGACTGTAAACCGGGGTGACTGCCTCTACAGTCGCGTTGTGGCGCTCAACATGTGGCTCCAGTCTACATGCAGCACTTTTAACTTTATTTTTGTGAACAACTTTGGCCTGTTCTGGAAGCGTCACGTGGCCTATCGTCCAGACGGTCTGCACCCGAACAGATACGGCACCAGTTTGTTGACGGACTTCCTGCGCCATGTTGTTCAGTGCTCCCCGAGGGGGGCGTGACTGTTTACATCCGAGGCCTCTCGGCCCCCACTACCACCTTCCTCCTCCTTACCAGCACCGGGTGAGTACTGTGGTGCAAACACTGACCCCTGTCCGTCTGGCAGTGTAACGACAGTCCTGCCACTGAACTGTGCTGACTCAGTTATGCATCTGGAACTTAACAAAGTACAACAGAGTTCACTTTTTAAACCAATAGAGACTGTGTGTGTTCCTCGCACCAGCTCAGAAATGTGTTTTAACTTGAATAAACACAAATTTAAAAGAAGGACAGCAGTTAGACGGTCCAACTCTGGAAATCTAATTCCAGTTCTTTGTAATCAATCAACTAAACCCACTGACACTGATATTAATTTTAACCTTGCTCTACTTAATGTCAGATCACTATGCAACAAATCATTTTTAATTAATAATTTTATCTGTTCGTATGATCTTGATTTTATGTTTATGACTGAAACATGGCTTGACCATAATACAGGAGATGCAGTTTTAATAGAAGCCTCACCACCAAATTTCAAATTTGAATATGAAACACGAGAAAATAAAAGTGGGGGGGGCATAGCAGCAGTTTTTAAAGATCGTATTGTCTCCCATAGGGTGTCTCTTGGGAAATTTTCATCATTTGAGTATGTTTCTTTTAAAATAGAACAAAAGAAATCTTCTTCCATTCTTATTATTGTTGTGTACAAGCCGCCACAGTCATGCCATAGTTTCACTGATCATTTCACTGAGTTGCTTTCAGTTGTGTGCACAGATTTTGATGGTTTAGTCATTATAGGCGATTTTAATATTCATGTGGATAATGTTAATGACAGATACGCAAAAGAGCTGAGTTCCATACTTGAATCCTTTGGCCTCACTCAGCATGTGAGTGGCCCCACCCATAGCAGAGGACACACCTTGGACCTGCTTATCACGAAAGGGGTGAATATTTCAAAAGTTAATGTAGTTGATGTTGCTCTGTCGGATCATTTCTGTGTATTTTTTAACATGTGTTTTGCTACCAGACCACCCGCTAAATATGAAATTGTTAGAAGTAGACACTTAAATGAAAACACGGGTGAACTATTTATGGGAATGATCCATTTTGAGAACACATCATGTTCTACTGTAGATGAACTGCTTAACTCTGTCACCTCTAGTGTGTTGAATGTTCTGGACGCCATTGCCCCTGTGAAGGTAAAAATGGTCACAAATAAGCAAAAAGCCCCATGGATAAAAGCAGGCCCGGTCAGGGCACAGAAGCAAGAGTGCCGGAGAGCAGAGAGAAAGTGGAGAAAGTCCAACCTCCAGGGTGATTATAGACTCTTAAAGTAGTAGAGTAGTTGTGTGAGTTTAACAGAGTACTACGTAGAACAAGAGAATTATACTTTTCTGAAACTATTGAAGGCTGCAGCAACAATCTGCGTGTTCTATTTTCAACAATCAATAGATTAACGAACCCCCCTGTTGAGTTGCCATTAGAACACTACTCCAAATCCAGGTGTAATGAGTTTGCACAGTTCTTCAGAGACAAGGTTCAGGGTATCAGAAATGCCATCACCTCTACAACACAAGTAACAATGCAACATCCAGTGAGGCTTTGTGAGCTAGCTCAATTTGCACCTGTCAATGATGAAACTGTTAAAAAGATAATCACAGGTCTTAGTTCCTCTACCTGCAGTCTGGATGTACTACCTCCTAGATTTCTGAAGTCTGTTATGTGTAGTCTATTACCCTCATTGACACAAATAGTAAACATGTCTTTTTTATCTGGAACATTTCCAATGGCCCTGAAAAAGGCAGTCATTAGGCCCCTCCTAAAAAAGAGCAGTTTGGATGCTGCGGTACTTGAAAATTACCGTCCCATCTCAAATCTGCCTTTCATGGGAAAAATTCTTGAAAAAGTTGCCTACCAACAACTTACTGAATTTTTAATATCTAATGACTCATTTGACATGTTTCAGTCTGGCTTTAGACCACACCACAGTACTGAGACCGCTCTAGTCAAGGTAACAAATGATATTCGGCTTAACACTGATGCAGGAAAAGTCTCTGTTTTAGTCATGTTAGATCTGAGTGCCGCTTTCGACACCGTTGACCATGAGATTCTCATGCAGAGACTGGAGGACTGGGTTGGTGTTGCTGGTACCGCCCTAAGCTGGTTTAGGTCCTATCTAGAAGAAAGGAAGTACTGTGTGGAGATTGGAAACTATGTCTCAGATAATATGGCCCTGACCTGCGGAGTGCCACAGGGGTCGATTCTGGGACCTCTCCTGTTCAATATTTACATGCTGCCATTAGGTCAGTTAATTCAAAGTATGAAAGTGTCCTACCACAATTACGCTGATGACACTCAGATCTATGTCTCACTGACTGCAGGAGAGCATGGGCCGGTGGACTCACTCCTTCGCTGTATCCAGCGGATCAGTGAGTGGATGCAATGCAATTTTCTCCAGCTAAATGCGGACAAAACCGAAATGATTGTCTTTGGTCCCGAGAAACAAAGAGAGACCGTCATTTGTCACCTTCAGTCTCTCTCCCTAAGGCCCTTAAATAAGGTCAGAAATCTGGGAGTAATAATGGACTCTGACTTAAACTTCAATAGCCACATTGGATCGGTAACATCAGCAGCTTTTTATCATCTGAAAAATATTGCCAAAATTAAAAATATTGTGTCCAGGGCAGACTTGGAGATTCTTATCCATTCTTTTGTTTCCAGTAGGCTGGATTACTGCAATGGCCTGCTCACAGGTATCTCCAAACATGCAGTAAGACAGTTGCAGTATATTCAAAATGCTGCAGCCCGAGTCCTGACTAGAACCAGGAAGTACGACCACATTAGTCCGGTCCTCAGGTCTCTGCACTGGCTTCCCGTGGCCCAGAGGATAGACTTTAAAGCAGCTCTCCTGGTGTACAAGTCTCTCCATGGCCTTGCACCAAAGTACATCCATGATATGCTAGTCCCATATGAACCAGCCCGGACTCTGAGGAGCGCAGGGACGGGACTCCTGTTAGTGCCCAGAGTCAGGACTAGACAGGGGGAGGCTGCTTTTCAGATTTATGCAGCTGGAGTCTGGAACGGTCTTCCTGAGGATGTGAGACTGGCTGCCTCTCTGTCAATGTTCAAATCCATGTTAAAGACTTTTCTTTTTTCCCGTGCATACAACTAGAGAATTTTATCTTTTTAACACACCTTG